TGGTCAGCTCGGCACCTGCACCCGCCCTCTGCCCCCTCTTCCTCCCCTGAAACAGCAGCTGCCAGCACCTACGTGCTCTAGTGGAAACATAGATAGGGTTTTTCTGGACGAAATACGTTTATAATTTTGTGCTGAAAAATACGAGTCTCGTTTGAAAAATGCATCTGAAAAATATATCTCTGTTTGCAAATAGAGATGAAGAATTGCTGAATATTTTTGGTACGGTTGATTAGAAGTTGAAATGAGCGTGTGTCTTGTCCAGCCTGTGGTGCTAGCAGTGAAGACGTGGTAACATAGCTCATCTTACAGAATTGGTGTGTGTGATTCACCGGAACACGTATTTATCGTTAATGCAAGTTGATGGTTGTGCTTTGACCAATTATAAAGTGTTTTAGCAGATTAAAAGTAGCACAGACATGCCTAAGTGTACTGCAACTACACCTCCAATTTCTTGTGGAGATGTTAAAGTGCTTTCTACAACCCACCATGGTTTGAGATCAACACTGTCTTTAAAAACAGTTTCCATTTATAAATGCTTTGACAGTACTACATTCAGATTGTCTGGTTTCCATTAGCATTGTTGCAACATAGAAATCATGGTTGTCCCTGGATTGGCAAAAAGATTACAATGATGACCTAATACTGATTGGTGGTGGCAGCACTGGGAGTCCTAATGTAGGTGGACCAGCTGCTACCCCGTGTTCAGCATCACGTTGATTAGATTCACTTTGGCTTTTATGATGCCATGGCTTTAGTTGGACCCAGCCAGTGTTTTGTCTGTATTAGAACTCCCATGGTTGCTGGTGGATTTAAAAAATGTAAAATATTCATCCCTTTTGTCATTGTATTTAGATACATTTTAGCACTTGTGTTTTGGGAGATAGAAGATGCAGCTGGATTGGTACTGTTACCTAGAGCGCTGGTTGGTAATTTCACTTGTAAGCGATATAAATTGCTGAGTTCATACTGATGTGTGCAAACAGGTTTGGATTCTGGATGTGAAACAATAGCGCTCCCTCATAAGCCACAGAGGCACAGGGGGGAAATTCAGCACCTGTGTTAGCTGAGAACGCTTCTATCCTGGACTGATTTTTCTCAGGTCATTCAACCATTTCTTAATAAGTTGAAATACATTTATATCTGTGTTCTCTCTGGTACTGTCGACCCAGTAGGACCCACTTCATAATTTAAAAGGTACACTGAGGAAGAGAATCATGTCCTATGTATACGTTTTTGTCTGGATTGTTGTTTGAAGTATTTCAGGAA